CGACGCTCGACTGCACTGCATGTATATTCGTGTGTGTGTGTTTGTCTTTGTGTGTGATGTAAAAGTATGAGTGTAGTGTGTTGTGGGAAATAACAACCAAGGATGTTGCGATCGACGCAACCACGACGTCTAGCGGACGAGGGTGGCGGTTACGGCGCAGACGTCGCGACGGCGCCCTACAAACTTCTACAACAACCGACGCAGACGTTTTCACGTCTATATCTACTGATAACAAAACGACGTTACCATAAATTAATAATTAACAAACCCCAACGATGGTAAAATAAACTAATGCAAAAAAATGATTCCCTTTTAAAACTTGAACCTTTGAAATTATAATAATTACCAGGATTTACCCGCGGGTTCGCTGGCGTTGATGTCCTAAATACGTGTCAAAGAAGCTCATTTTACTCAACTGTTTTTTTTTCATATTGGATTACGCATGAAAATTTGTCAGCTATTCTAATTATTGTCCTAATTTGACTGAAAATGTTTTCTAAATCCTTAATACATAAAAATGGAACTTTCTCTCAAAGCACATCTTAAGTTTTTATTTCATAGAAACCTATAGTTTTTTATTAACACATCAATGGTTAAAATGTAGTTCATCAGTAGATAAGCTTCTATTACAAAGTAAAGTATTAAAGAAATAATTAAAACCCCACCTTTGGACACCTGTATATCTCTCACTTTTTTGATTTGGTGGTAAAAAAAAAATTTGGCACATACCTGTACAAAACGCTTTCCTGCATCAGGAAGTTAAATCTTCCTTGTTACAACTTTTAAAACTTTCTACACAACAAATCAATTTTGTTTTACTTTCTGAACAAGGTGAAAATTTTATTACTTTTACTGTTTCAAAATTTGGATGTACATATAGATTTATTTATTTATTAAAAATCAAACGAAGAAATGGATTTTATATGCACATTCACTGAATGCAATATAACACTAGTTTTCATTTTCGCCACAGAAGCCAAAAAACACCTTTAATTTTTTACTTTCCAAATTTAAATAAATTTGAAATAGAATAAGGTATAATTTTATTAAAAATTACTTACCTAAGAAACAAAATACGCTCAAACTTTCGTACAATCTTTCAGTAAACGAGCACTTGAGGCAGTCGCAGCAAGTACAGAACATTTTAAAACACGCAGAGAAATTACTAATTAACTTTTAGTTCTAAACACTACACATCCAATTTAATTAACATACACTTAAAGACATAAACAAAAATTGTTTCCAACACGCACGCGCAGACACACTCAAGATAGAGTAAAAAATCGCAGAAACGACTTTAAAAATTAGCAAAAAGAAAGATGGTGGTCTATTTAATAATAAACAATAATTGGTCCTAATGGATTCGACCAACCAAGTGGCCTAGCGACCCACGGGCAACTACAATACAAGTTCGCTAATTCTACTAAACCAAGTACCTACTCAACTGCAGAACTAATGATAAATGAATATTTTCACGTACTTGACACACGCCGTATAAAGATGGTCAACTGTACATATACACACACATATATTTATTTACACGTGTGTGGGTATTTAATAAGTGTGCGACTTAACGCTTCTGGTACACTTGAACAAAAACAATTAATTCTACCACCGACTAAAATTGCTGAACTTAAAACATGAACCCAATAAAAATCGAAACGGGACAAATCCTATTTCAGTTGAAAGAGACGAAAAATGAAATCCAACTTTATATTATTTTATACACATATTGGGATCCGTCAAATGGGAGGAGCCTAAAAACATGGCGCCGATTAGGGAAAATTTAGCGTAGTTCCTATAGTGTACCGTGCAATTTCCAAGTTTTTAAATTATGATAAAATGATAAGTATTGACACAATATGTGATTGAGCTGACACAAAGCCTCGGAAAGGAAATTTCGTTGAAGGTGAGCGTGTTTTTAATGCCAATCACATTATAAAATATATTGCAGCAGGTAGGTTCTTAACCTCAAATACTTATATCGTATCATTAGAACTGTGTTATCAATTACACAGGAATAAATAATTTCTCACTTTATAATTATAGTATGATTCTATTTTTAAATATTAAGGTTATGGCTGATGGTAAATACTTGCTGAAATATAATCATGTGCATTAAAATGACGTGAACAAATTTTTATTCCGGAATTCACTTCTTTGATACCTACTGCTTTCATCCAAGCTTCTATTGGTTTACTTTTTTCTCTAATTTTCCGAATATATTTTTTACATATATAAAACGGTTAGTTTTTATTGGAAAGTAGTTAATGTAGGTGAAGAGTAAAGATCTATGTCTGAAGTGGTATTGCAGCTTTTCACTGAACATATTAACTTTTTATTTGATTTAACTTCAGAAGAAAACTTCGTCGACTCCATCATCAAAAAAATGTTTACTTTTTTAACGTGTTTTATTATTTTAATAAACAATTTTACAATTTGCGTGCACAGTTCCTATGTAAATTTTTCCCTCATTCAAGTTATAAATTTTGCCACCAGATGGTGTATGCCCATTTGACGGATCCTAATACGTACGTACAATATAACAAGGACGAGAAAGAAATGGTTTTATCAAACGGTAAATGTTTACAGAACGTTTAACGTCATTTACCACAAGATTTCCATACTTGCATAAACCTGGGTCAATTTCAGAAGGCAAGGTCCGCTATAAATTATTGGAGTGTAGGAGAGCTAATTTACTAGATGGTTTGATACGTACGTTAATATAAGGTAATTGCTCACCCTTATTCCAGTTCAACTCGCCTATTTCGAGGGTATCCTTTATTTATAAGTCTCTCGAATATGGTAGATAATAGCTTTAAGACAAATAAATTTATCGTATAGCGAAATTCGCCTTCCTAAAATGATTTTATTGTATCTTCTAAAAGGTAAGTTATTTTAGGACGTAAGAGTATGATTTGAAATAAAAACAAAGTTGAGGAATATGAAAATGGATTCTCTTTTAAGTGATACCGCTCATTACACCTATAAGCACAATTATTTCCATAGGCGTAGCGACGATTTTACCTGGAGAGGTCAAATATTCAACTCTACCTAACCTAACCTAATGTAGCATTAGCAGTTGCCATTTATACATAATGTAAAGGATAGCTTGGATTTATCTTATTATACTTAGATAATTGATATTGTAGAGTGAGCCAAGAGGATTCTGGCCCCCACCCTTTGCTACGCCAGTATTTATTCTGACACCCTACTTTGAACCCCTTTTTACAAATTTAAATATTTATAGATAATTATCATTTGACATTAAAGATAGAACGCATTCAACTCGGATAAACAGTACATTAAAAACCCCAGGGTTTAAACTTTTCACAAATTTATTTACAAATGCTCAAATGGTACCTTACTACGGAAAATTACTATCTAAATTGTCTAATATCCTGTATGTATCAGACGATCTATCTTCCTTTATAATGCACATAAAATCCTAAAACTGTCGTTATGACCTCAGTTTTCTTACACTTCATCACTCTACGGTCATCAAAATCGACCATGTAAGACAGTTGTAGTGGGTTGTCAAAAAAATGCAGTTGTATTGTTTAATATCCCATAAAAAGTTTATTCGGGACTTTATATCTAATAAAACGACATAGTTTATGGCCACTAAAAACACTTGAACGAATTTTAAAAATTAAATGTGTTTACTGAACAACTGACTTTTAAGCAAAAGTACCAAAAAAAAAAAATACTGCCAACAAAAACACTTTACTTTTCAATTAAACTACCAATTAATACCGAGGGTACTATTAAATACAAAGCAATTTTGATGTCTACCGCATCATCATCATCATATCATCATAAGGTCGTCAGCCCTAACACCGGTTGGACACGCACCTCTTTCCTATCCTCAGGTAATCTTCGTATTTCCCTAAAACTAGAACATCCCACATCCTAAACTATTTGCGAACAGTAATCTAATGTAGATCTACCTCTACTCCTGTTTCTGTCTCCAATATGTCTTTGACTAGACCTTCATACCTGAAAAGGTGTCCTACCAACCTATCTCGCTTATTTTTTATTGACTTCCATAGGGTCCTCTGTTCTCCTGTTTTTTACAAAACCTCTTCATTTCTAACCTTCTCTATCGATGGTCTCCTCATCATTCACCTGTAACATCACATTTGGAACGCTTCTAACCTTTTCTTTTCCGCAGGGTCTACCGTCCATGTTTCGCACCCGTACAGCGCTGCGCTCCAAACATACACTTTTAACAATCTTTTTCAAATTTCTAAATTAACCGTTCGCGAGTTTAGAAGTGACTTCTTTTTAATGAAGGCGACTCGATCTTGCGCTATCCTCTGCTTTATATCCCTACTACTCCTTCCATCCTGATTTATCTGACTTCCTAGTTATCTAGAATCAGCTACTTATTTTAATTTTTCGTCTCCTATCTTCATATTCGCTCATTCCCTTTTATTTTTACCGTTTATGTTTTATGTAGATTAAAATGGTAACGAGGCACGAACTATGTTTCCAACTTCGTTAGCGCTTCCCTTACCATACCTATATGTCTTAACATTTAAATAAGATAATGGCGTACAAAGTTCAGTGTGTTTACATTTTAATTCTATCGTCCATCAAACAATAATCGAGGTAAGTGATATGGTGTCGTTTTAAGTTTTACATAATAGGATGATAACATTCTTAACATGACCATTATAGCACTTGCGGTAATAAAAATAATATAGCTTATTGTTTAAAAACGCGAAACAATTGACAATGGTCAAACTACCGGAGTTTTGTTCGCAAAATCGTAAACTAAAAAGTTATTTGTTTCTTTTTCTACATATTTACTAAAATCCATTAGTTTATGAAAATGCATGTTTTCTTATATTAGACATTTCAAGGCAAGGGTGACGCAGAGTTGGCCTAAAGAATCAGATATTTATACATATGTGTATGCATTTTTGCGACTTGTGTGCGTTTATGCAATTCTGCAAATCTTGGTCCAAGATTGTTCAATTCAGGACCGAGATTAGCCCAAAATTGGGCAGTCAATAACTGTTTATTATGTATATCAAAAATTGATATTTGAATTGACTAACTTTTAAATGAATAGACAAGTTATTCATTTCATCACGAACCGCCACTGTTTCAAGGGATTTATTCGAGAGTTTTGAGGTTCTGAATTGAAACCTTATCTTTCGATAAAAAGCGAAGGCTTTTCTGTCTTTCGACAAAAAAGAAATGAAAATGGAAAGGAAAAAGAAAATCGACTTACCACTGACGGCCGTGAATTGATATTGATGATTGTTTGCCTTTTCGGCATTCGCATTGGTTGCCTGGACAAACTGGGGATTTTGTAAAAGTTGCTGTTGCAAGAGGGCATGCTGGATGGCATTGTGAGAAGACAGGGGCGGAATAGAGCTCGGGTAGGCAGGGGGCGCGCCTAACGGCGTCGCCTGAGGGGTCTGACCTCCGGGAACACTATCGGTTCCTGCAGGCGCAAGAGGTAGTGGCGAAGACGGAAACTGTTTGTCTGTAACAATAAAAAAATTATAAATAATAATCGTACATAATAATAAATAAATATCTTATTTGAAAGTTTCTCTAAAGTTGAGCTCACAAAATGGTAAATTCTCGCAATGTTGCCAACTGCTTACAATCATAAGGCAGGTCGTACACCAATCCAACACGCAGTAACAATTAATAGCAGTTATTGTTTAGTAAACATTTTTCCTTTTTTGTTTGACTATCCAGAATTGGGGTTCCAGACCAAAATAGCTCCAAAGATTTTTCATCATTTGGGGGAGACAGTTTTTTAAACTTGATAAATAAAAAAAAAATTTTTGAATAATAATTTTTCAAAATTCAAATCACAGTTCTAAACTGGCACGGGAAGAGATGGGTGAGAAGATCAGGGGAGAAAGGGAGCAGGGTGTTAAAAGTTACACAAGCTTTTAATCTCCTTATCACACGATTGTCACTGCATGAAATTCTTTTATTAATATTAGAAGAAGAAATATATAGCTATACAAACACTATATACTAGGGTGCTTCAAACAAAATTTTTCAAAAACTCCTCAAAAATGGATAAATAATATAAACTAATATGGAACAAAATTATAATCCATGATTACTTATAATCATACGATTAATTCATTTGTCTTATTATTATCATGTGTGCTGCCACCTACACCACGTAATGAAATTAATTTTTGAAATTTGTAATATATAAAAATACAATACTGACTAATAGTTTGAGTAAAAATTTTGAGGATTATGCAAAAAAAAAATAACTGCAAGCTATTTTTTTAAATTTCATTTAGTAATTTTTAAATGGCTGTAACTAATATTATTGTAAAGATAATCATACATTGTCTTAGAGTTTTGTAAAGCTCAAAGACTCAACTTTGAGAATATGAAACGGTTGTTTGGAAAAATTGCGTAAATTATGTGTAAATTCAATTTAAAACAAAAAAGAATGTTTCCTATGTTAATTAAATGGGAAACTAAAATAAAAATAGCGACCCCTTAGATTTGAGCTATAGGGCTCATGTTTGGCGAGGATTTTTTTTACATCAAATAGAAACATTTAAGGGGGTAAGAGTTAGGAAAAAAATAAAAATTTTGTTTGTAGCACCGTACTATATACCCTATGTAGTATGCTGTAGTAATAAAAAAATGTGTCTCTCCCGCCTCAAATATAATCATTAAACCTTCAGAAATGGCCAGAAATCGATGAAAAAAAATTTGGAACGTTTTTGGTCTGGAGCACCAATTCTGGACAATTACCTACTTTCTTTGAAATATTTTCTATGACCTATCGTCTGTGTCCACAAATAACATTAAACTACTTTAAAATTTATTGGGGCAATTTTTATTGCCACTTTAATAGGTAGGTGTCAAATACTTGAATTAATTAAGATACTTTATCTGTATAATTAAAACTTTCTTTCCTGTTTTGAACGTTTCCTTAATGTAAACTTCCCCGTTTCTAGAGGATATCCTACAATACATGTACACAAGGATAGGTGGTTTACACATACATATAACTTCCTCTCTCTTGATCTATTTATACGTTTAAGGAAAATAAATTAAAAGTAGCGTTTGTTTTTCTTTCCCACAACAGGTGCACGTCTGTAATGTTTATTAACGTTTTCCGAAAATCCTTTTTTTATTATATTTTAAAAATTTTAAAAATAAAAAAAGATTAAATTCGAGTGACACTTATCAAATCATATTTCACAGCTTAAACGTTTACCTACTTCAATCTTTTAATGAAGGGAAGGGGTGCAGGTGTATTTATAGGGGAAGGAAATTTAAACTAAAAAAAGGTGAAGTATTTTTAGAAGTTTTCATAATTTACTGTCAGCGCTTTCACCAGAAAAGATTTCCAATCTATGCCTTTTTTGTTTAATTACCTACGTTAAATACAGGCCATAGAAATCTTAATTTGATGAAGAGGTATTAGAAACAATAGGAGAATAGAAGACTCTATGGAAGTCAATAAAAATAGGCGAGATAGGTTGGTAGGACACCTTCTCAGGCATGAAGGTCTAGTTAGAGACATATTAGAGGCAGAAACGGGAGTTAGAAGGTGTAGAGGTATACCTAGATTAGATTAGTGTTCGCAAATAGTTAAGGATGTGGGCTGTTCTAGTTTTAGGGAAATAAGATGATTAGCTAAGGATAGAAATAGTGGAGGTGCGTGTCATACTAATTTTAGGATGAAGACTTATTTTATAAATCAAGCCTTCAGTCCTAGTTCGTTCATTTGGCTATCAAAATATCCAAAATCTCAGCAAAACTGACAAAGTTTAATATACATCTAAAACCATCATAATATATTTTACTTTTCCTAACACGATTTTCTATTTTTAGGTCATATTCTATAAGGTCATGTTTTTTTGTTAATAGCTCTACTAAATCAAGTTTCATACAGTTATCCTACCATTACTTATTTATGATTTTATGCCTCAAAATAACTTCTCTTAGACTGTACTTATAAACCGTATTCCTAAAACGCTTTTTATAATAATCGATTGAATAGATGCTGAGATATAAGCTAACTTTAAGATACAGAAAACATTAACAATTTCAGTAAGTGTACAGACGGTTACCCTTTTTTCATTTCGAGGTGCCGAACTCTAGAAAACGCATCGCATTCTGACATCCTGCCTACAATCAACCATCATCACCATTTTTTTCGAAAAAATATTTCACTTGATTCACCCCATTCGCAATAATAATGATAAAATTACCTAATAACAATTTAGATACATCCAAGTTCGTACACCTTCATGGAGTATGGATTTGTTGCATAATGAAGTTATTTAAATAGCTAATCATCTCCAATACTGTTATGCTCACTATGTAACGAATTCGATTATTGCACGAATACCTGTTCGGATCTGTGTATGTATGTTTGTATTTATGCGTATAATATGCGATTCACACATACATAACAGCAGAGCGCTTCACTTCCGCATGTGTGAAGACAGCAACAATTCAAAATATGTATCGTGTAAAGCGAGTACAGTTGGTATATCTGCAAACATCTCAGTTACCTCATATCTCATGTAATTTTAGCTTTTCAAATTGATATATTTCGAAAAAAAAAACACTCGGCTCAAATGATTTTTGGACATCTGCGTAATTTATTGCTTATTTTTCAGATTTGTATTCAGTTTCTACATGTGTAGATAAAAATTAGTAAGAAGAAGTTAGTTCTGCAGTTGCCACCCCAGAATAGTCCCACACAATATTTTAGAATCCCAGAATTAGTGGAGTAAAAGTATCATAAAATTCACAAAGTAACTGGAACTTGATAGAGAAGGAGAACAGAGGGTGCTATGAAAGAATTGGTAAAGGCTTTCGCGACTAATAGGTGAACTGAAGAAGAAGCTAGCGAAACGTTAGGATGTAACTCCAACTGACGATAGCCTTTAGACACGAATTAGGACAATATCGGCGCTATGGAAGTCAATAAGAAATAGGCGAGATAGGTTGGTAAGAAGGTCTAGTTACAGACATATTAGAAGCAGAAACAGGAGCTAAGAGGAATAGAAATACAAACAGTTAAGGATGTGGGATGTTCTAGTTTTAACGAAATATGAAAAATAATCTCAAGATAGCAAAGAGTGGAGGTGAGTGTCCAACCAATCTTAATACTGGCTATCTTATGATGATGACTGCACTTGCCTCATTTTATTAAACAAGCCTTATTTAACACAGAAAATAATTTTTATTGGAATTTGTGTAGGTCATCGTAATTCGCTCATTTGGCTATCGAAAACAGTGTTGGTATAGAAATTTTCAACGTAATTTTATCTATAGTTTACAAATAGTTTCATCATCATCATCATCATCATAAGGTCGTCAGTCCTAAGACTAGTTGGACACGTACCTCCACTCTTTCCTATCCTGAGCTAAACTTTGCATTTCCCCAAAACTAGAACAGCCCACATCCTTAACTATTTGCGAACAGTAATCTAATCTAGGTCTACCTCTACCCCTCCTAACTCCTGTTTCTGCCTCTAATATGTCTCTGACTAGACCTTCATGCCTGAGAAGGTGTCCTACCAACCTATCTCGCCTATTTTTTATTGACTTCCATAGAGTCCTCTGTTCTCCTATTCTTTCCAATACCTCTTCATTTCTAACCTTTTCTACCCACGATATCCTCATCATCCGCCTATAACACCACATTTCGAACGCTTCTAACCTTTTCTTTTCCGCCGCTCCCACTGTCCATGTTTCGCACCCGTACAACGCCGTGCTCCAAACATACACCTTTAACAACCTTTTTCGAATTTCTAAATTAACCGTTCGCGAGCATAGAAGTGACTTCTTTTTATTAAAGGCGACACGACCCTGCGCTATCCTCTGCTTTATATCCCTACTACTCCTTCCATCCTCACTTATCTGACTTCCTAGGTATCTAAAATCAGCCACTTCTTCTAATTTTTCGTCTCCTATCTTTATATTCGCTCTTTCCTTACTTTCTCTTCCCTTGCATACCAGTATTTTAGTTTTACTTTTATTTATTTTCATGCAGTACTGATCTGTCAGTACCGCTTCTATTTTATTTAAAGCTATCTCTAGGTCCTCCTTGCGAGATGCTAATACTGCTATATCATCTGCAAATCTATGCATACTAATCTTTTGCTCTTGCACAGCTATCCCTACAGTTGTACTGTCTTTAATGAACAAATGGTTTGACAATCAATTAATGTAATTAACACTTTATCTTTTATAAAGAAACAGAGAATGTTAAATTCTTCATTGCTTCCCTTCATCATTCTAAAGTCGTTAGTCCTAAGACCGGTTGGACACGCACCTCCACTCTTTCCTACTCTGAGGTAATCTTCGCATTTCCCTAAAACTAGAACAATCCACATCTTTAACTATTTGCGAACAATAATATCATCTAATCTACCTCTACTCCTCTTACCTCCTGTTTCTGTCTCTAATATGTCTCTGACTAGACTTTCATGCCTGAGAAGGTGTCCTACCAACCTACTTCGACTGTTTCTTATTGACATACATATACCTCTTCATTTCTAACCTTCTCTTTATCCACAGTATCCTCATCATTCGCCTGTAACACTACATTTCGAACCCTTTCAACCTTTTCTTTTCCATTGCACCCGTACAGCGCCGCGCTTCAAACATACACCTTTAACAACCTTTTTCGATTTTCTAAATTAACCGTTCGCCAGCATAGAAGCGACTTAACCCTGCGCTGTCCTCTGCTTTATATCCTTACTACTCCTTTCGTCCTGACTTATCTTCTTCTTATTTCTACCCTTACTAACTCCAAAAACTTACCCTGACAAAACCTTCTACCCAAGGCGGAGTGTTGGTGTGCCTTTTAAAGACTAAAGAAATTTTTACCCCTACGGGTTTTGATTTGTTACATAGGGAATGTTAAAATTTCCAACACATTACATTAAACCCAGACGTTCAGGATACTTTGCCAACCCAGTTCGAGAGTTGACATTAGGGCCATGTCCTACATTCTCATTATACTGACCAAAAAGTTAAAAATATGGACACTACCACACATGACGCTCTCTCATTTATTTTCCATAATTACTTGTAATTATAATTTTAATAATGTCAGTAAAATATGTTTGAAACACTCTGAATAACACCTTCAATCCGCAAGAGACTCNACATTCTCATTATACTGACCAAAAAGTTAAAAATATGGACACTACCACACATGACGCTCTCTCATTTATTTTCCATAATTACTTGTAATTATAATTTTAATAATGTCAGTAAAATATGTTTGAAACACTCTGAATAACACCTTCAATCCGCAAGAGACTCTATCAGAGCAAAACAAATTTTAAAACACGTTTATAAAGCATAAAACATATTGCATGATGACATGAAGACTTAATTAATTGTAATTACGAAAGGATCAATTTTAATTGAACTAAATGAAAAAAGCAATAAGTATATATATAAAGTGAGGTTTGACCGCATTTTGCTTTTGGTGAAAATGTTCCCACGTAAACAGCATCTAATGGAATTGATTTTAATTAACGAATATTGGAAATGGTATTCATTAGTCGCTAATCATTGGGAGGATTATAGAATTATGTAATAAATTCGTAAAAATAACATCGATTTTATATGTTCTCTAAACAGTATTTGTAGTAGTAGTAGTTATAGTATTTACAATATTATTCGCAGTAGTAGTATAGGTACTACAAAATATGCAAATATATTCGATGGTCATCAAAGGATTATCAAATATTGACATTTACGAAATTAATTACAGGTAGGGTGTGGTAAGAAGTCAAGGCACAATAAAGGAATGAATATAAATATATAGAAACATTCATGCACAGTAGATACTATTTTTTTAACCGACGAAAAAAAATGAGGAGGTTCTCAAGTCGACGCGTATATTTTTTTTTTATGTATGACCACGCATAACTTTTTACAAAGTAGTTCGATTGTGATAATTCTTTTTTTATTGGAAAAGGTTGGTCCCATATAAATTTGGAAAAAAAATTCTATAACCACGCATAAGTTTTGATAGAATAGTCCGATTTTGATAATTCGTTTTTTATTGGGAAGGGTATACCTCGAAGTTTGTCCTATATGAACTTGGAAAAGAAAACGTAACCCTAAGGGTAGGAAAACAGGGTATGATTTATAGTAGGAAAATAATAGCAGTAGTAGTAGTAATTAGTAGATTATAGCCACAAAAAAATATAAAATAAAATCTATTGTCATAACGGTAAGTGATTCTTTGAATACATGCATGCCTTTTTGTCTCACCCAAAATTGTAATTTGTGGAATTAGAAGGAAGCTTTCCGTGCAAATAGTTTTCTATACCTGAAAGTAGAAACGGATTTTATATTGAACAACACTGCAAATTGACGCCTATTTCATGAATTTATAGCACTTTAGACCAGGGGCAAAGCTCAAAGCTCAAACATATATATTTAATTAAATGACTTATTTAAATTTTGTTTAGGGCTTTTGAAAATTTGTACCAGACATCAAAAATTAAGTCTATAACTACGTCGAAGTTCGTTCAAAGTAGAGGCACAAAGTGCCGGCTGTTTTTATTTTTTAATGAAAAGTTCATATATTCGTCAAATCAATNTATATATAGATATACAGGTAAGGCAAAATATTCACCGAACACCGAACCAACGAAGTTGTCGCCATTTTTTCTTTCCATTTCATATGAATAATTTAGTAAACGTGTGGAATATGTTTTTCAATGACGTCTAACTGACTTCTCTTTGATGATTGCATGTAGTAGATTATCCTTACGTTATAATCCGCAACATTGCGTATATCAAAGAGATTTCAGGTCATTTTATTATCAAAAATATATCTTCAATTAAGTACTTCCGAATCAATGCATCATACTAATTAAATACAGTAATAACAGAATGTTGTTCTAATCCAAAAGGTAAATAAATAACTTCTTGTTGAATAATATTTTAAATTTCTTTAAAGTATTTTTGAAAGTTTAAATTTAAAATGAAGCCGTTCTAAAAATTTAACTGCTGTCGCGTTTTAAGAATGCGTGGTGTACCTATAATCTTTCGTAAGCCAGTTTACTTTTAACCAGCCACAAACGACATTTTCAGCAGATTTATTTTTGCAAAGGCCCCAGCTGATTTTCCGCAAGTTAAGAATAGCGAACTACCAACTGGGTCATTTCCTGGGAGACAATAATATTTGCAAAATTACAAAAGAACTCATTAGCAACACCGCAGAGGATATACCTATGTATACTTACGATCAAATATACAGGGTAAGTCATTAAGCAGAAATCGGTTTTTCATACACGTATACTTCAAAATAGAAAAAAGTGTTTCAAATAAAAACTATACCGGAAATGCATTATTTTAAACGAAACCCCTTACTTTTTATTACATTTTTGAATTCCCTATAAAAAACAAAGTCAGTTTATTAATATACATTGGATTTGGGTCGCACCGTTCTAGAGTGATTTCACGTTTCTTGGAAAATTTGACGTTTGCAGTGTTTGGCGCTGTTTTAAATATCTCAGAAACGAAAGGACCTAGAGGTTTGCGGTTTTCATATTCCGTTTCCGGAAGAAATTGTCTATCATCTGTAGATAGACATGTACATTATAAATAGTATGATATTTATCGGTGCCAACATTCACAAATTCAAACTTTCCTTTTTAAAGGAATGCTAAATTTTTGCTCGCGTAGTATAACGCAAAATTAAATTTTCTTGCGACTGATATAGGGGTGTTGATATCTGTGACCAATGGTTTTTAAGAAATTTGTATTTTTTTTTTGAAATTTTCAATAATATCGTCTTATTAAGTTAACCGTTTTAAAAAGCTTGGCGAGTTTGTTTTCCTTTTTGATTTTCAGTTAAGGTACTAATTTTGAATAATTCAAAATAAACTAATTCTACAACCCCTATTATTGCTCCTTTTTTTCTATCATTGACTTAGAGGAGAAGAACTGGTCAACATGATATTTATTAAAATATAGAAATTTCCTTCTCATACAGTAACGCTTCAACTTTCAATTTATCTTTACGTATAAATTAAAAATTTACCAAAAGGACTATGTAAGACCTGTTTGCTTGCTTGTATTTCCTTTATTAATTATTACAAAAAAAAATGAATGTTCTACAATCAATTTTGAAGCATATTGCATGATGTTTCTACTGCATTGTCTGTACCTGAGGCATTTTTACACATTCCTAATCATGGATGGGGTGTTTGAAAACCCTAAACTCCCCCTGTAACTATGCCACTAATACAAAACTCCAGAGTTCCAAGGAACACAGTTTAAGGAATGTTGCCCTAGAATACTGTTTATACATATAACTATGTAATGCCTTATGTATTAACTTTCGAGTGACAGGTCAATCTTTACAACAATTACATTTTATATCAAGCCCTTTCATTTGATATATCATACGGTACAGTTTACAAATATTTTCTTTTTAATTTTCCTTTGGCCCCAAAAATTACCCCCTTGTTCAAATTTAATTAATTTACGTTATGTGTCCGTGTTTGGGGTACAGAACTTCATATGTGTACTAAATTTCAACTTATTGAGTCCAGTAGATTTGTATTCAGTCCAGTAGATTTGGAGAAAATTGACTGTGACGAAAAGTATAGAAAACAATGAATTCTTTTGGCAATAAAATGCGCTAGCAAATGATACATTCAATTTGATAACGTTATAAAAAGAAGGACATTTTATTTGTTCGTTACGATGAGCGATGAGGTGTCTACACAGAATTCGCAAATGTATTGGCAATATTGCGGCGCAAGCAAATTTTGAAAGCTCACGAACTTTCAAGGAAGAAAAATCGATCGCTGTTTACACCAAAATAAAAATATAACTTACTTGGCTCGGATATAGGTGCAATTGGACTATCTGGAAGAAGAATTCCCTTTTGAACTAATTCGTCCCGATTGGCTCGAACAGAAATTTTTCGTTCCAAGGCTGCAACAAATGCGACAAATATAGACCACACTTATGCACAGCGCTGACTCGAAGAGGGTGCTCCCAATAGAATACAACACAGAAAATTTTGTAATTATTTTGATAATATACATATAAATGTCCATTTATATAGTTTTACAAAATATATTTTAGTGTTGTTGGATAAAATTATTATGATATACATAAGACGGTGCTTCCCATTCATTCATGATAAAATTTTTCAATGTCTTTATGAATGTGCAAAAAGCAAGAGAAATTCATAAAATTCTTCTGTGCGTACATGCTAATTAAAATATAGAGAATTGTTTGAATTATTAACGAAAATATTTAAAAGAAAGAAGTACAATTTCTACACAAAATCAGCTCAATTTCCCACCACTAAAAATCAAATTTAGCAATCATCGAAGTTAATGAAAACAGAATTTTTTTTTATATACGTAAGCATAAAAAAATTACCAACTGAATTTAATTTCCAACTGCTTGTGAAATATAACCTTATAAAGTGAGCTTGTTCATGATTTTCTTTCAAAATAAAATCAATTCACAATATATCGAAAATGCAAGTTAAAAGTAAACTTTTATCAAACTTCACTTAATAAAAATGTACAAACTAACGGCAGAGAAAAATGATTCTCAATAAGATATGCAAAATTAATTTTAGTTACTAAGAAATACTTGGGCAAACAAGCCATACCAATTTCGTTCAAAAATTCACATTTGGGACTGCCATTTGTTCAGCATAGGAAAGAGTGAAAATACATGTCCAATCAGTTTGTGATGATGATATTGACGACACGGATCATATTTCGTATTGCAATTCACTTTTATTAGGCATTTTTTGTACGCATTTCATGTAAATAATTTTATTAATGTATGTACTTACTTCTTGAAACAGCTTCTAGTTTGTCCGACTTCTTTTTCCTTTTCCACTTCCACGGTTTAAATAATTTCCCTAGTGCTGAAAATTTACTCTTTCGTTCTAAAGGGGGCGTTCGAGGGCAGCTACCTAAACTATTAGTCCTAAATGCGGTGCCATTTTGTTTCTTTGCTGTAACAAAAAAGAATTCATATAAACATTTTTCCAAAATTAGGATTCATCGTTTTATTTAATTGGGTTCACACAACATTTGATTTATTTTCTTGTATTCAATACAAAAATTCTTCTCTCGAGGAACCAACCCTTTCCTTGTAATGATTCCGATATTTAAAAGCAAGTACCCTTAAGAATAAATAAATGAATAAAAAATAAAAATAAAAACACTTGCTATAATATATGTTTATGTGCAATACTCTGTTTACAACACAGTACCTACATAATTTTAAGTAAAACAAAAATATTGGTATGCAAGGGAAAAAATAGGTAGGGAAAGAGCGAATATAAAGATTTTAGGTATCTAGGAAGTCAGATAAGTCAGGAAGGAAGAAGCAGTAGATATAAAACAGGCGCAAGGTCGAGTCACCTTCAACAAAAAGAAGACACTATGTTCGCGAATTTAGAAATTCTAAAAATATTGAAGGTGTATGTCTGGACCGGTGCTGTACGGGTGCGAAACATGGACGGTGGACGCGGCGAAACAGAAAAGGTTAGAATCGTTCGAAATGTGGTGTTACAGGCGAATGATGATGATACCGTGGCTAGAGACGCTTAGAATAGGGAGATATTAGAATGAATAGGAGAACTGAAGACTTAGGAGAGAATTAGGCGAAATAGGTTAGTAGAACACCTTATAATGCGTGGGGGGCTAGTCAGAGACATATTAGAAGTAGAAACAGGAGCTAATAGGAGTAGAGGTAGACCTAGATTAGATTACTGTTCAAAAATAGTTAAGGATGTGGTATTTTCTAGTTTTAGGGAAATGCGAAGATTAGCTCAGGATAGGAAAGAGTGGAGGTGCGTGTCCAACCATCTCTAGGACTGATGGCCTTATGATGATGTGGGAAATTCGTACAAATACCTTTAACCACCTACTTATCTATAATTGCATTTGTTAAAAATTTTACATTAAAAATTCAATTGACACTTTTTTACAATGCTCATATTTCATTTCCTAAAATAAACTCTGGCTACGCTCATGGATGTGTTCAAGCTTAATGAAGTAAGAAAACCGTAAAGTACTGAAACATGTAATCATATGAGACACAGTGCACGTGTTCCAGCACGTATCTGGGTTTTTAAAAACGGTGTAATTATAATATTACATACGTATACATGCCTATGTATATACCATGTCGTAGTGTCTGAGGCTTACATGTCCAATTAAATAAGCAGCGACTAACTTACTATCATTATACTGCAAATCACTTTCTTACAGAACGAGTGTGAAATGCTGAAGAAAAATACTCAAGTTGACAACTACAATTTAGTACTAAGATTAAGTAAATTAACTTCGTGCTAATTAATATTAAAATATTGTACACTATTAAATGCCTCATTAGAAGTCATCCTAGGATAATTAAATAGAAATCATTACTTATCTAAAAAAAAAAAACAAATACCAAAAAGGTACTTAATTAATTGTTTCCACTTTAAATTAGAAGTAAAGGTCAGGGGGCCCCTACGGCCTGATGATCTTATGATGATCATCAACAGTAACTAATCTTGATAATTAGGATATGGTGGCCACTTTTTGACAAGACAAATTTTCCGTCATTTTTTTAACACGATTTTTCAGGTATTATGTACCTATAGGTAATGTTTAAAATATAAATAAACTGTTTTGTAACTGACCTAACATCGAATCGTATAATTATTTCTAAAGATGTATTTTCCAATGGAATAATAAAGAACATATATTGAAACAGCACTTGAAGATTCAAAACAAAAGAAAAACCGATAACGCAGCGTTACTCTTTACTTACCCTACATTCGATTTGTTATCAAACGAACTAAATTATTCTGAGAGCTGAATCCTAATTAATATTATAAATGCGAATGTTAGTTTGTTTTTTATAATTTCACCACTTAAATACTCAACCGATCCTCATGAATTTTTGTACACATATTGTCAGAGGTACACAAAAGAGTACAGGGTACTTCTTATCCAGAAATAGAAACTACTGTCTCGAAGGACAGAAAAATTGGTTTCATGTGGTTGTCAATGAATTTTGATAACGCGAGGAAAGTCGTGGGTAAAAGCTATCATGAAATTTTGTACATACATTGTGAGGGGTACAGAAAAAGACATAGGGTACCATTTAATGATAATGCATTAAGTAAAACAAAAGTGTAAAAAAGATGAGTTTCCGCATTTAACGTGGATTGTAAAATAGTATCTGACAAGTCATAATTTAGCACACCTTTGTCGTTAACTAATTGAAATTGAAACGGTATGGCTACCTACAATTAACCGTCATATATTAGAAGTATTTTACACTGTTTTTACCTTAATTCTAAGGTGCAGCTGGACATAGTGAAAGATAATATTTATCCGCGCAACGCAAGTGCAATAAACTTTGAATGGATCTGCTAATATTCCAAAGCCATTATACGTATGTATAATTCAAGGGAAATTATAAGTGTTCGTGCATTTAATAATAAGGTTTATAGTCTATTGTACAACTGATATTTAACAATGTTTGCTGTTAAACTGATTACGAGATCGTAAAGGACAAGATAAAGTAACATAATTCTAAAAAGAAATCTACGCAGTTTATAAATTATCGTTTAAAAGTACAGGAAAAAAGACTAGATCTCTATTTTTTCTCTGAACTGAGTCAATCCTATTCGTATTTCTCTAGAACTAGAACAACATACATCCCTAAATATTTACGAACAATAACCTAATACACCTAGGTCTACGTCTGCTCTCGTAACTCCTGTTTCTGCCTCTAATACGAGGGTGGATTGATAAGTTTCCGGCCTAACCAAGAGATGACGCCACTAGGCCTACCTTGAGGTGACATTCTATAGTACCATCCTTGGATAGCTTGTAGCTATAGTTTCAGCCCGATCTCCTTGCTAGTGTAGGTTTGACAGCACGCTGAACAAGACGCCTCTGTGGTTTTCGTAAAAATGGAAAAGCAGGAAAATCGTGCTGTCATCAAATACTTTTATTTGAAGGGGTTAACGCCGAAGGAAATTAAAAAAGAGATGGACTCAACACTGGGGACATCCTCCCCGTCATATTCAACCGTTAAGCAGTGGGTTTCCGAGTTTAAAAAGGGTCGTGTGAGCACCTCTGATGGGCCTCGCTCAGGACGCCCCGTTGAGGTCACAACTCCAGATATGATCGAAAAAATTCATCAAATAGTGCTGGGAGACCGCAGATTGAAAGTGCGTGAGATAGCTGAGACCTGTAAGATGTCATATGAACGTGTGCAACATATTTTGCACCAACATTTGCATATGGAAAAGCTCTGTGCAAGATGGGTGCCGCGTTTGCTAACAGTCGACCAAAAATTGATTCGAAAAAACATTTCTACCGCAAATTTGTCATTGTATAAGCGTAATCCAAGCGAATTTTTGCGTCGATTCGTAACCGTTGACGAAACGTGGGTCCACCACTACACTCCTGAAACCAAAGAACAGTCTAAACAGTGGATTGGACCAGGGGAACCAACTCCAAAGAAGGCAAAAACAATTTTTTCGGCGAACAAGGTTATGGCTACTGTTTTTTGGGATGCAAGAGGTATTATATACATTGATTACCTTGCAAAGGGTAATACTATCACTGGTCAATACTACGCAGACTTATTGCAACGTTTGAGCCACGAGGTGAAAATTAAACGACCTCATCTGGCGAAGAAAAAAATCTTGTTTCATCACGATAACGCACCAGCGCACACGTCAATCGTTGCGACGGCTAAAATCAACGATCTAAAGTTTGAATTGATGCCGCACCCTCCTTACTCTCCAGACCTAGCCCCGAGTGACTATTTTCTGTTCCCTAATCTCAAAAAATGGCTTGGCGGTAAGAGATTTGCGGACAATGAAGAAGTAATCGAAGCTGTAAATGGTTATTTTGAGGAGCTTGACGAATCAGTCTATAGAGATGGCATTAATAGACTGGAACACCGCTATGAGAAATGTATCAGCCTTGGAGGAGATTATGTTGAGAAATAAAAAAAAAAAATTTTTAAAAACCTTGTTTTTCTTGGTCAGGCCGGAAACTTATCAATCCACCCTCGTATGTCTCTATCTCTTCATATCTGACGAGGTGTTCTACCAAACTATCTCGCCTATTTCATACTGACCTCCACAAATCCTTCTGTTTTCCTACTCCTTTTAACACCTCCTCATTTCAGTGTCCACCGTCGACGTTTTTGACCCATACAGAGTTGTGCTCCAAACATACCTTTTCAATGATCTGCTTTGTATTTCCACATTAACCGTTCACGAGCACAGAACTCATTTCCTTTTGTTAAAACCTGAATTATCTGACTCCTTAAATATCGAAAATCAATGACTTCTAGTTTTTCGTCTCCTAGTTTTATATTAGCTCAGAACCTCGATATACATCATTCAAAAATAATTTTGTTTTATTTTTATCAACTTTTATATCATCTTCCTGTGCAAGAAGGGTTAGTAAAATTTATATTAGAAGCTCCAATAAGGGTAAAGAAAGACCTAGATTAGGTCTAGATAAGGAGAGTGAAGTGCCCAAAAAACAAAAGTGTTTCTAGAGATACTGCAAAAGAATGAGATATTTGGCGAGTTACAAGCCTAAAGATCAAGGTCTCTTACGAATCGCGAGCTTCTACAGCAGCTCTGGCTAGAATTACAGTCGTTGATGTATTTCACACCAAATCACCGGGATGTTGATCATTCATTTATCGAAAACGGAATATTTGGAGAGATACAAGTATAAAAACCACTGCCTTGCAGGAATCCAGAGTTTCTAGAGCAGTTCTAGCTAGACTATATATTGAACAACCCCGAAACTTGTTTTCCACCTTACAACTCCGGGGTGCTTATCATTTTTCAAAACAAAACTCAGGAAATATCCCATTTTTGGACAAAAAATAGTTAGCACCCTGGGATTCTAGGGTGGAAAAACAGTTTCAAGTGTGTGTCAAATACTTCTACTTCAAATAGTTCTACCTAGAACT